AGGGAGCACATCCCGTTACAGGGTCGGGGTGCAGGTCAGATAAGACGGCCGTGAGGACACCCAAGTGCCCTGTGACACCCTGGCAGGCAGCTGCCTCCCCATCTAAGGTGGGGTCAGCACACTGTATCCACACGTGGATCAGACAGTAGACACTGACCCATGAGTCCCACATCGGCCAGGCTTTGGGCCTCAGCAAGCACCTGATTTGGTCATTCGTGACCGGGGTCATGACACATTTCTCACACAGCTGTCAAACAAGACAATGCCTACAGGTGAAGGTCTTAGTTCCGTCCAGTCCACCCTGACCCAGGCACTCGGGGGTGGGCACTGACATACCCCCCTCCCTGCCCCTGCTCCCTTAGGTGTCCTTGTGAGCACTCGAGGTGGCATGTGACACAGGGTGACCACGTGCTGGACACTCTACAGAGCACACGCCCAGTGCCTGTTGGACAGGCCAAACAACTACAGAACATCCCCCAGCCCGCCCCAGGTGGCTCACCGTATAGAGCATTCTTGGACGGGGAATACACGAAGGCCAGCGTGTAGAGATAGAAGTTGATCAAACCATAGAACGACAAGAATTCAGCTGGTGGAGGCCGTTAAGGAAGTGAGTGTGGGGACATGGCAACTCTGGGCACCAAGGGCCAGGCTCCACCTGACCACACGCCAACCAGCAGCTGGGCTCCAGGAGCAGACATCAGTGTGCCCTTGACCAGTGAGCTCACGGTCAGAGGTCAGCATGCACTCAGCACCGCGCCAGCCCACGGTCGGGGGTCAGCATGCACTCCACACTCCCCTCCTTGAACCCATGGTCAGAGGTCAGTATATGCTCAGCACTCCCCCCCAGCCCAGTCGGGGGTCAGTATGTGCTAGCTCGGCACTCCCCTCCCACAGTCCAGTCGGGGTCAGTATGCGCTCGGCACTCCCCCCCCACAGTCCAGTCGGGGTCAGTACGCGCTCGGCACTCCCCCTCAAGCCCAAGGTCGGGGGTCAGCATGCACTCAGCCCTCCCCTGAGTGCAAGGTCAGGGTGTGCACACGCTCACGAGGAAAAAGCAAACACAGGTGTCTGCGACTGTCCCCATTAGGGGGAACAGGTCCCTCCCTTCAGCTTGGACACCCCAAGAGCATCCAGAGGCGCCGCCCGTCCCGTCCCTCTCCTCTCTGCCCCTCTCCACCTGTTCTGCACCCAGTGGTGGGACCAGGGGATCCAGCCCCATAGCACAGAAAGACCAGGCAGGTGTGGGCACGGACATCAAAGTGTCATCACTGCTGCCCTTAACCTTTCCCAGAAAACAGACCCCTTAGGGAAGCCAATAAAAACTGTGAAATTGGTCATCATACCAGAAAGAGGAGGAATTGTGCCTTAATTTTCAGGAATTCCTTAACAAGAAACCCCCCCCCCCCAAAAAAAAACCACTCACTGCCCCTAAGTGGCTTCTGACTCCCAGCGACCCTCCACCAGGTTCCAGAGGCACTAAATCCTTCCAGAGGGGACTGTCCCTCTTCCTCCAGTGCAGCAGCTGGTGGACTGCAAGCGCAGGCCTCCTGGTGAGCAGCGCGACCCAACACACGAGGCCACCAGGACTCCTTCCGATGGACTGTTGCTGTTGTGTGCCTGAGCTGGAAGAGACCCAAAGCTGACCCTCCAGGGGGTTTTCACAGGTAGAAAATCAAAGAGGAGATTGCCCATCCTTCTGCAGAGCAGCTGGTGGATTCGAACCATGTACCTTTGGGTTTGGCAGTGCAATTCTTTACCACTAAGCCACCAGATGACAAGGACGCCACGAGCAGCAGCAAACACCAGGACTCCTCTCTTCCGTCCAGCCTCTCCCCACGGCATGTGCCCTGGACATAGGCTGGAGCAGGCTCTGCCCAGAGGACCTGACTGCATGGGAGGCGGCTTCTCACCCACCAAGTCCATCATCTGCAGGAGAGAATGACAGGCCCTCTGGCACGTCCGCCCGCTTGGCCATCACGCTAAGACTGCCCATCGCCTTCACTCCTTCACACTGGTCACCAGAGGCCGATCAGGGCTGATCTGTAACTCAAGGGCCCTGACCACCAGGGCACATCACTCCAGCCTCAGTGGTTCCATTGAAAGGATATAATTCTGGTAATGAGTAGACAGGTCAGCTACAAAGTTGTCCTGTAAGACTTGTGCTCCAAATCTTAAATAAAGGATGACAATGCTGGGGGGAAAAGGGGGTGAAAGCCGGTCAAAATACATCAAGAAGCAGCACTAGCTTCTCGGAGCATGATCTGTGCATAATATGCATGGAAACACCCCACACACACACACACCCTCTGTCTTTCGCACCCTCTCTCTCTCACACACACACACACATACACATACACACCCCATTTCTGTTTCTGAGTTCTAGGTCTCAGATCCAGGAGGTGCTCAGACCCGGGCAGTCTCTAGGACAGAACCTAACAAGGCTGCCAGGCACATGCCCTCAGATGCCCTTTCCCCTCTCTCAGCCCCAATCAGCGCTTCCCTGACTGCCCTGCCCAGCAGCTAGCCGCTCCCTAACCCTGCTCCCCCATCGGGCATGGTGAGTCTCACGGGAGGAGACAGAACAACGTGGGCTCAGGTGCTCTCACGTCCAGGTCCCTCCACAGCCAGCGCCCTCCTCCCTCAGCCGCTGGACAGCCTCCCGACAATGGACAGGCACCCAGCTTTCTGCTCCTCTAGTTCTGTTTCCAGACAGTGGCCAGATGGACCACTCCACTGAAACGTCAACCACTGTGCCGCCAGCCAGACTCCCCGAGGCTCCCCATCACTGAGATTAAAGCCCATCCTGGTGAGGACTCCCCCCGCCCCACACACCCTCGTGGTCCTACTGCTTGTGACCCCTGCTCCGCTCACACAGGCAGAGACCCCCACACACCCTCATGGTCCTACTGCTTGTCACACAGGGTCAGGTCCCATCACTCGGCTTGATTCTGGTGAAGACACTAATTCATAGATGACTGCCCATCACTGCCCACCATCCTTAGAACACACGTGCCCACCAACGAGGAGGCCGTCTTCCCCAATGGGGTGGTCACCCCATAACACGTGCAGAATATATAAAAAAATCTCCTTGATTCATGCACAAGAAAGAACCCAAAGCACAGCAACTTGTGAGACAGACACTACGGAGACCCTGCTGTGTGGAGAACAGCTCTGGACCTGTGGTTTGGAGAGGGAGGGAGGGAGGGAGGGTGTGTGTGTGTGTGTGTGTGTGTGTGTGTGTGTGTGTGTGTGTGTTGCTGTGAGAAGTTACACAGTTTGTGCATGTATGTATATTTCGGGGGTACTGCTGACACCAGCTCCTGTCTCCAAGCTCTCACTCTCAGACTCAAGCCTGCTCTGTGAACGTGATTCTAACACTCTGACATGGTAGGACCAGGGACACCATGAGGAGGGACGTGACAGCGGGCAGCCAGCTCTGTCCAGGCCTGGGAGTGCCTTCTTTCATGCTCTCCACACTAACATGACAACAAACAACTGCTCACACCCCACACGTCCCATCCCCCAACCCTGGGCAAGAGGCCTCAGTCCTCACAAGCATCAAGGCGGATCGGGGAGGACTGAACAGAAGAGCCAGAAAGGAACTGCTCACAGCACCATTACGGCTGTGATCAAAGTCACGGTCCGGCCTCTTACCTGATGACCAGCACGACGAAGGTCAACGCAGTCAGAAACTTCAACCTGAGGTCTGAAAGAGAGAACCTGCCCTGAAGTAACGTGGAAGGACACTCACCCTCATCTCAGAGACAGTCAAAGGAAAAGCAGAGAGGAAGCAAAAGCCCCGAATGAAACCCCTCTTCCCTGGAGTGTCGGCCTCTGGCTTCCCCTGGAGCCCGGGAGAACGGCGGCCTCATCTCACCAGGACAAGGCCAGGGTCTTCAGCAACACCAGGCCTGGTCATCCTGCCTGTGACGGACTGCGGGAAAGGATCCCAAACTGGACCCTGACTAGAGACTAGGGAAACGGCCCACACTCCTCCTGAGGGCCGGTCTGGGGCTGGCAGCTCCCTGGACCATGCGCCCGCGCTGGGCCCAGGCTGGCCTCCATTCCAAGGCCCAGTGGTGCAGAGTGAGTCAGGAGACACCATCCCCAGCCTGTGGGGAAAAGCAGGTCTGAGACCACCCTCACAAAGCAAGATGGTTCCAGACACCGTGCTATCAAGTGACGTCAATGCCTAGCCCACTCCTGGACAGGCAGGTGAAATCCATTTAAAAGTCTATGACCCCAAAATAAGAAGCAACCAAGGGGTCCCTCAGCTGGTGAACTGATAAACTGGTGTGTCAGAACTGACTCACAGCTCACCCTCCGCTGGGTCTCCCAGGCCATAAGCTGCAGGGAGGAGATGGCCCATCAGTCTCTGTGGAGACACTGGAGGATTAGAAGCACCAGAGAAGCATGGCTTCGGGTCTGCAGTGTAACCCCAGCTGACTACACCGCCAGAACCCCCTTCTATCCACATTGCTGTCATGTACCATCGAGTTGGAAGTGACTCACAGCTGACCCTCCAGAGGGACTGCAGAGGCAGTTCATCGCATGGGAGGAGACTGCCATCTTTCTCTCCCAGAGGAGCTGGTGGATTCGAACCCCATGCCTTCGGGATGGCAGCTCAGGTTCTTACCACTAGGCCAACTAGAGCTCCCTTCTATCTGTATATTGTTGTTGTTATGTGCCGTTGAGTTGCTTGCGACTCATAGCGACCCTATGTACAACACCTAAACCCTGCTCTATCCAGTGCAAATCGCACTGCCTCTGACACACCCATCCTAATTACCCCAGTCGCTGAATCAATCCACCTCATAGAGGGTCTTCCCCTCCTGCGCTGTCCCTCCAACCCTCAAGCATGATATCCTTCTCCAAGGACTGGTCTCTCCTTACAACATGTCCAAAGTATGTTAGATGGAGCCTCAGAATCCTTGCCTCCAAGGAAAAACCCGGTTTAACCCTTTCCAGGATGAATCTGTTTGTTTTCCTAGCAGTCCATGGTACCCTCAATACTCTTCTCCAGCACCACAGCTCAAAGGCATCAATTCTCCTTCTATCCTCCTTGGTCATTGTCCAACTTTCTGATGCATAACAAGTGATAGCAAAGACCATGGCCTGTATCAGATGCACCTTAGTCTCCAGAGAAACACCATTGCTCTTTAGTACTTTGGAGAGGTCCCTAACAGCAGACTTTCCCATCGCAATACATCTTTTCATTTCCTGGCTGCTGGTGCCAAGAGCGTTGATTGTGGAGCCAAGCAAACTAAAACTGTGAACAATCTCAATCTCTTCACCATCCATCCTGATGTTTCCAATTGGCCCAGTGGTGAGAATATTTGTCTTCTTGACACTGAGCCTCAACCCATATTGGAGGCTGCAGTCCTTGACTCTCTGCAGCAAGTGCTCAGTTTCAGCAAGCAGGGCCGTGTCATCTGCATAACGCAAACTGCTGATAGATCTTCCAACAATCTTGACCCCACATTTCTCCTCACAGAGCCCAGCCTCCTGGATAATAAGAGATAGAAACTATGAAAGATAGGGAGGAATCAGTCTAAGAGAATCCCTTCTGAAAAGCCTCTATACTACACAATTCCAACTACAGAACATTCTGGAAATGGGAGAATAATAAAAACAGAACAAAAATCCCATTACCCTTGCGCCAATTCCTACTCCTGGTGATCCATTAGGAGAGAGAACTACAGACCCCAAGGGGGTCTCCAGGGTTCTAGTGGTCACAGAAGCATCTCTCTCCCACCGAATGGCTGCCTCTGGGTGAACAGTCATGGCCATAACTACTGTGCCACCGGGGCACCTTGGAGACAGTAAAAAGATCAAGGGTTTCCAAGGGTCCTGGGGGAGAGGGATGGAGGAACAGGCCGCGAGGGAGGGACGGACAGAGCACGTTGAGGGCTGTGAGGGGAATCTGTCTGACATGGCCATAGTGGGCACGTGGCACTGCACTGGCCAAACCCACAGGACCGCCAGGGTTGACCTCTGACGTGCACCAGGGGCTGTAATTCACAGCAACACACCAGTACCATGCGTCAGCTGTAGTAAACACATTGCACACATGTAAGACATGAACAGAACAGAGTGAAATAGAAATGGGCTGCAGGGAGGGGGTGGGAAGGAGCTCTCCGAGCTTCTGCTCTTAGAAATCCAGTCTGCGGAAAGGCACAGAGAATGCTTACCTACGTAAGGCATGTGTCGGAGCTCGGAGCACGCCCGCACGACCAGGAACAGGAGGTACAAAATGTAAACAGCTGCCACCACCGTGAAGAAGACTTTCATTCCCTAGAACAAGGCAAGGCGGGGTGCTGTGAGGCACGGGGGCCTCAGCACTGCTCCCCTCCAACCACCACGGGAAAGAAGTCGGGACTTCTCATGGGGGCTTGGGACCTGCAGGTCACACCACAAGCAGATGGTCTGGGGCCAGCCCCCCGACTAAGGCCATCTCTGTGAAAACAGCAGCCTGCAGCCAGGTGAGAAGAACTGAACTCCCTCCAGCTCAGGGCGCACAGCTCAGGGCGCAAACCCCTGCTTAGGACCCCACTGTGGTGTCAACTGAGCAGCGGCCTTGTCTGTCTGTCACCGGCTCAAGAGGATGGAGAGAGCCCAGGGCTGGACTTGGGAGACAGCATCCCTTCTCTGGCCTCAGAGCTGAGGGCTGAACTGGCCAGCCAAGCGGACCTCAGGGTCGATGCTGTGTGGGACAGGCTGGTGTTGTTGGTAGGACCCCACGCCGGGGCGACCCCCAGTCCAGGTCCCTTCCCCCTCCCCGACTCAGAGCTAGAACTCTCTCCCTGGGTTCAGTATACAGGGCTGGCCCAGGACACCAGAGCCCCTCGGAGTCCCTGAGCCCCGGCGCAATGCGCACCCTGATCAATGGCAGCACTGACAGCTGACTGGTCCCTCCTAAGCAGACAGCGCTGGCCCTGCACCCCCTGGTGGCCAGCCCACAGAATGATGATGAAAGGCCAAAGGTACAGTGGACACACGGCCTCATCAGGACCTGCTGAAGGGCTTCACACACTGTCTACCAGAATCCCCACTGCCCCACCCCTTACAGAAGAAAAGACAGCCCAGGGGGTGGTCTCCAGGGGGCGGTCCTGCGTCCCCCACTGCCCTGTGCCCGACCAAGGCATCTGTGACAGCAGATTGACATGAGGGATCACGTTGCTGCTGCTCAGGGCCATCAAAGCACCTGTGGCTGAGCAACATTACAAACGACAGATCAAACCTCGCCCGTCCTGTGCTGTCCTCACAAGGCGCTGTGTCACCCTGGCTGGGGGACAGCTTCCTCTTCCCTGATCCTTTACTTTCCCAGCAAGCTGTAATTCATTCAAAGCCAGGAGTGACATGGCCTCGTCACAGAAGCCTCTGCCCCAGGCACCACGCCTTGCTCCTTCAATGCCCAGTCAAGTCCTACACTCTGAGACTCTGACTCAGTGATGGGACCTGTGAGACACTCAGTGTCCAGACCCTGGAGGCTGCGTTCAGGGACCGCCTGCACCGCAGCAGCCAGGCCTGGGGTCCCACACACTCGGCCTCTGTGGCCTTGGTGTGGGGTCCTTCACTCCCACCCTTCCCACAGCATCTCGCCTGCCAGGACCTCACGCTCTTCCCTGCTCGCCAGCTCAGGGGCGGCTGCAGAACCGCTCTGGGAAGACCACTCCACGAGGGGTCCAATGACCCGGTCCACACGTCAGAGTCCCCCATGCTCGTGTGGTGCCCGTGCTCCTGAGTGAGACCTGTATCCCTGAGCACACAGGGTACCCTGGGCCCGTCCACCTGAGTGGCACAGAGGGGACAGTGCAGAGAACATTGTGCAAGTCTGTTTCCTGTGTGTGAAAGGCGTCCACATGTGACGTAAGCAGGTAAGCACCTGGCTGCTGACTGAAATGCCGAGGTCCTGGTCCACCTGGAGGGGCCCGGAAGCAAGGCCTGGCAATCTGCAAGGCTCCCCTGAAGCCCCCAGGAGCTCAGCTCTCCTGACGCGGGCCACCGTCAGCTCCACAGCAAAGCATCCAGCTTTCAGCTCCCACGTGAAAATGTGCACGGGCCTCTTGTTCCCACAGCACTTACAATTCCAGGGCAGTGACTGTACTGACCAGACACGGGCCCTCCCCCAAGCACGGACGAGTGGACTGCAGGCCTCTCAAGTCCATTACACCACCTGGTCACAACATAACCCACTAGGGACCCCCTGTTCATTTAAAGGTCATCGTCGTCATGTACCATCGAGTCGGAACCAACCCACAGCTGACCCTCCAGTGAGCTTTCAGCCAGTTACTTGCACGAGAGGAGATTGCCCATCCTCCTGTGAAGCTGCTGGTGGTGGACTCGAACCACCTGCCCTTAGGACTGCAGCACAGCGTCTTGCCACTAGGCCACCAGAGCTCCCTGTTTGAAGATCAGCATGAGTAAAGGTGTCTCCTCGGCTGTCCGTGACACATCGTCTGCCCTGGCACTGTGCCATCACCTTAGAATCAATTCTAACTCAACATGTCGGATCAGCACTGACTCACGGCTGGCCATCCAGTGAGCTTTCAGAGAAAGGAAACTGCAAAAGAGGAGACTGCCCATCCTTCTCCCATGGAGCAGCTGGTGGATTTGAACCATGCACCTTCGGGATGGCAGTTTCACTCCCTACCCACCAGGCCAAGATCAACCAAGGATCAGCAGTAAAAAGTCTACTTTTCATGCCCCTCAAACTCAATTTTTCTAGACCAATTTCCTACCTGTAAACTTCCAACAATCCTTCCCAAGTAGTCTGTTAGCGAGCTCACGCCAGCAACGCAACAAGTTACAAAGCTCTGCCGGCCGCGCTGACTCTTCTTACCTGAAAGTTTCCGGTGTCAACGCGATACTGGTACATTGGATCATGTAATTCATTAACTCTAAAAAAGAAAAAAAGGGCTCTTGTGAAAAACACAGATTAATACCTGGCTTTACTTTTTATCTTATGCTTTTCTCACTTAAAAAAAAAAATTACTTATTTTTGGTTTTCCTACTAGTTTATTTACAAAATTCAAATACAAATTTGAGCAAATTCTTTCGATTTCCCTCACCCCCCCCACCCATCAAACTGTACAACCCAATGAGTAATCCTCCCTTTTCCCTACACATCTACAAAAACTCTTGAATGTCATCTACTTATTAACAGTCAACCTACTCACGTTTGCCATATTCCGAGGGTCACAGAAGCCAACCACAACAGTCCAACGATAAAGAACTTGGGCAAATAGAAAGTTAAACACTTTCTTTCTCCCTAAAATAAAGGGGAGGGAAAGTGAGAAACATGGAAAAGCAGTGAGTGTATGCTGCGTGCTGAGGAATCAAGCTGTCTGGGTTCCAGGGGTCTGGAGGTTCTGGGGTAGGGGTCACTTCTGCGGTGCGGTGCGCTGGGCAGAGGCGAGCGAGGGCTGCAGGGCTCGGGGCTGCACTGGGCAGAGGTGGGCAGGGGCTGCTGCGCTGGGCGGAGGCGAGCAGGGGCTGCTGCGCTGGGCGGAGGCGGGCAGGGGCTGCTGCGCTGGGCGGAGGCGGGCAGGCACCCTGATGCCGTGGTACACG